AATGCGATCAATGAATTATACGCTTTCTTATTTTGAATGAATTATTACTCACTCCACTTTAATCCTGCTGACAATTTGACCTGATTTTGGTCCTGGATCCACAGCGAATTGCAGCATTTCTGAGATATGGTTTGATTGTTTTTCTCTCAGTGAAACTCCTTTTGTAACTGAATCTGATATCAGCCTTATGGGGATAAATTTCTGCTGGACATCTTTAGTTTTCACATGCTCTCAAACATGAAAATATTTAAATGAATAAAAGTTTGTAGTAGAGTAATCAATTGGAGCATATGATTGAGTTCGGTGTGTGTAGAAAGAGATAGAGCAGAAACTAGAAACCTAAACGCTATTATACCGCTGTTTTCTCCTCGTTCGGTTTCATCAACCAGGATGAATCCGCAAGCCTATCTAGTGAATGAACCCAGGGCCCAGCACGTAGAAACTTAGCGTACTACCCACTTGACCAAAAGGCAGATGATCAAAGAGTTTCACTTTGTTTATTACTAACATAGATAAAATCTTGGGGTGTACAGGGTAACCGGTAGGAGTAGCACCTCTAACTCGGAGGACTGCCGGCCCCTTTGGGCATCCTCCGTTCTTTGCTCTCTACTAGGCGCTCAGCTCTCACCTGTGGCTCCAAGAAACTGTTTGGATGCAATAGCGGCCACAATCCGGTAAACCGCTTGATAGGGGGGCCAAACCAGGCTGAAAGTAACCGGGAGCTCACCTTCCGGCGAGTCGGTTTCTAACGTACGTTTTGGGTGGACGAAGTCACCTTCACGACTCAACGGTCAAGGCAATGACTCCGTACTCATCAGGGATACATGGACTCGTGTTCAGCTAGAAACTGTCCATGACTTATGAGCTCCCCCTCCCCCCAGAGGGCCACCGGAAACCAGAGGCTATCTTTCTGATGCTTGTAGTCAGCACTTGGATGTGCGAAGGCTATAGATGCCACGGCTACCCAAAGCCGGGTGACGCTGGGGACGTTTCCTGTACCAAACTCCCAAGAAATTTCCTGGATATTTCCTTGATATCCATGAAGCCGGCTTATCCTATCCCAGAAGCCAGCCGCCGTAAAGTAAGTAACACGGATAAACCAAGCTTTGTATGTTAGTTAGTGATGATGAACGGAATATACGATGAATATACGATCTTAAAGGAGATAAGTTGGTAACCTTAACCACTTGTTGAGTGATAGCTGCCCAATTTTCGGGAGCCATCTATATGTTAATAATTCTAACCTCTGAGACTAGTGCTACGATGAGTCAGGCAGAATGACTGCAACAAACTTCGGAAGATGGCTTGTGCTGTGTTGTGAATATAGAAAGTAAAACTCTCTGCTCAGCGGCTCGATGATCACGTGGGTAATTTGCCTAGCTGTCATACTTGGAATCAAATCTTTCCACAATTTGAAGAGCACTATACTGTCAGTACATTATTCGTTCGAGTGAAGCACGTAGATCTGATATTTGTCATTATTTACAATCGGGTCTGAGATACCTATCTACGCATCCTTCAACCATTAGATAACGGTCCGATACTTGATCAAACATTGAGACTCCCAGGCGCATTATGAACAGGATGGTCATTAAATTAGCAGAAATCGAAATGAATAAACGGCACCAATAGAGATGGATCATATGGTCAAACGCACAAACCAACCAGTGTCAACGTTTGTGCTTTTATGGTTCTTTCCTGAATGCACCAAAGTTGATCTATTCGGTATTGATTTCTCGTATCGTATGGGAGGGTCATCCGGAAACCGCAAATTTCGCACTTCTGGTTAACATTATCTGAAAGTATTGAAACAAAACGGTTTATCGGATACCTCAGATGAGACATCTTTTTCAGTTCAGTTTTTAACAACCATTAACCATACACTTTCGTGAGCCGGTATTTTTGCGGTCTTTTAGTCGCCCATTTGGATAAAAGAGCAGATTGAAGATCGGACTGATGAGAGCAGATTCAAAGGGAAGACAGCGAACTCATGTAGACTACGGTTGCAAGAAGATTGAGTAAATGCACGAACACCATTGTTTGAGACACTCGACCATATCGCCCAGAGTCTCTAACCATCGGTTACAATGATCTCGGGGTTCCCATCCAGAAATCGTAACGGAACTTATGTAACCCAGTTTCCTGGTTAGGGTTTTCACACCCTCATACCAGGTCTTAGCTTGACCACCCTTGACCTTTGTCCAACCGCTACCTGCCTAGGCAAACATCGCTCGCCGTGGTGACCTATTTGGTGACATGAGCAACACATGTCTCAACCAGCGTAATCTACGCAGGTCGACCACTTGCTCCAGTGGACAGGCAAAAATTACGCATAACTCTACGCATAAACTCAGCATTGCTCATCCGGTTACCCCATCGGACTCGTGCAATGTGACGTAGATAGTGGTGTTCGAACACCGACGATCTATTTGTATCCTGCTCCCATAGTGGCCAACTTAAACAAGATATTTGGCAAATTTGGGAAGCGCATTTTCTTTTCTTATTGAAAATTAAAGTTCTTGTGACAGAACTATAATGAATCGTTTCAAACTGAATCCATTTTAATTTAGTTCTCTAATATTTAACTGATATAAACGCTGAACTATACAACTCGGGTGCACTTCGTCAGACTTTGTTGCTATCGTGAACAATGATTTCATAACCGATTGAGCAATGCATATAGATCGCTATTGGTACAGAAAAATATATTCATATATTCGAGCCAACCACGGAGACGTTTCTTAGATCACAAGTGGAGTTTATTCAAATGGTATTGTGCCAAAATTCAAAACATTTTCGCTTATTACCACTCGAGATTCTTTCGCCTAGAACCTCTCTTAATTCCAATTGATAATGAACAATACACAGAAGACAGTGTTTTATGACTCGTGTGAGGTACACAAGTATGACTCGAACTCTGTTCTGCAGTCTATCAGGCATCAGTAGCAGGGTCGGTTCACTCAGGTAATGCGACTCACAGAAAAGTGATCAAATGCTGTCGATGTGATTATTCAAGTCACAAAACTGCATCATTTTCCAACCAAGAACAGCTGAGGTTATTCTTAAGAATAACCTCATTATGCCCGAAAGCCTCATCTACTCGGTAAACCACAGTATTCCATAAACTGGCTGTAAGTTGTTTTACCGTTTTTCGATTTGATCACGGGTCACACCTCCGAAGTAATTTCAGTCTGTGAAAATATACGAACAAAACGTTGTTGTGACAGACAAGCAGGTTTATTATTCGTGTGTTAAAATTCTGACCGTTTCAATATGAGAGTTAATTTGTTTAGTTCTACTTTCTTGGGTTCATTCACTGCATGACCGTATCACATTTTATTGGTTTCCAATCTCATTTCTGAAAAAGAGGCAATTTCTAGGTTGAACGAGCTCGATTGGAGTTGACAGGGCATCAACTAATGGTTACTTCGAAGTTATCGGGTCTGAGTGACTGTCCCAGGATATCCCCTCTGACCAACCCTGATTTCTGAATTGATGACCAACACCAGCGAGGGTTGATTGGCACAGTGAGAGGACATGCAGTTTCGATAATCACAACGAGCCCTTCGGAGAGGTACCACTGATGAACTGCAAATATAAGAAAAAAATCGAGTTTGCTGCTTCTCAGCTGTTTGGAGGTTTGGACAAATTTAGATACAGGTAGAGTCCAAAGGAAGTTCAGTTCAATCGACAACAAAGAAATACAT